CTCTCCATGATTCTTTGCCACCTTGGCTAACAGCTCATTGAGGGAACCTGAGGATGCATGCTTGCTCAGCACTGTGACGTCATCAGGGACCAGCAGGGCCATGGTGGTGGAGCTATACCGAACAATGCTCAGGAAATTGTGTGGTACTGGAGATAAAACAGAACTTATATGAGGCATATGGCATCGCCCTGAATTATCTCTCTGGCCCATCTGAATTCTGGGGCACAAGAGAACTGGCAGGAAGAGAGGCTGAAAAGAGGTTCTATAGAGTCAGTGGAGCCAGAGGATAATGCTTAAAAGTCAGGACAGGATGTAAGGCACTGTCCCTCCTGCAAAGATTTAGAGAAAGATTATTTGGAGTTTGGACGGAGATGGTGCAGCACCGAAGGCATCATATTTTCTAAAGTGTCTCGTTGGCTGCTTCCCCTACAAACTTCTCCTAACTGGCTTGCTCTCACCAGCTCACACACACCACCACACCCCCCCCTCCAAATCTGCTCCCTTCAAATTGTCACTCCCCACAGTGCAGCATTCATGCGTCAGTTCTAAATAGTCCCACTGTTTAGCTTTAACGAGAAGTAATACCAATTCCCATGTTTGCTCAGAGAGCACTATATTTCATCAAACCAGAGCCCATGCCGGCTCAGATTACTGACCGAGACAATGTTCTGTAATCCTGGTTTATTCACATGTCACGGGTATTTTAGCAAAACAGAAATGAATGGCCGGAGCCACCCTAGGAAGTAACGGGAGAGTTGGGTTCCCGCCCAGGGAAGTCAGGCTTTCTCCTGCCACAGATCTCTGAGGAGCTGACTTTGATTCTCAGAGTTTCCCCCACCCCACACCCCAACATTTAAGAAAGAGAATATGGGCTGAGGAGGAGTCACAAAGTGGGCAGTTATTTCCCTATAAAATGTTAACTCCATGGATGGATTTTGCCAGTGCAAAAATAAAATCTGCCATTGATTATAAAGTCCTTTGTGCTTGTTATTTCACAGATTTATTACACTCAGCCTGGCGGCCTGGGGAGGCCCTGGGATTCTTGTCTCTAGCACTCCAGCAAACTCTACAGCCACATTATTTTTTCTTTTCACAGCTGATGCCCCAAGTGGTAACAGGGACTCACTCGACTTTCTTTTGTCCTGAGAGCCAAGAACTTTGGAAATTGAGATGAAGAGCTGTGAATCATCCTCCCACTCTTTGGACAGGGACCTACAGACAGGGATTTTAAAAGTTCCCTGGTAGAGGTCTATAACTCCTAATCTAGGAAACATTATCTTTTCTTTCCTTTTTTACTCATGCACTTAGAAAATGCATTTTCTCTGCAGAGCAAAGGAAGAGACAGGCTAACGCTACCACCACATCTGGCTGAGTCTGGACTCTCTTTAAGTAGGCTGCAACCTCTTTTGAAGAGATGGTAAGTGAAGAGAGTTAACCCATGGTTGCTACTACCGGTACCCTCTCATGCTAAAACCTTTCCACTAAACCTCTTAGCAGCCTGCCTTTGTTACTATATTAGAACTGAAGCCCAGAGACATCAAGTGACTTGCTTATGGTCCTACAACTAGGTAGTGGCGAAAAAAGAGGAAATTTAATTGGTCCCAATTGACTGCAAAAGTTTATACAGATATTCTGACTTTCAAGAGTGGATTGAAATGCAATCACAGATCCAGGCAGAGAACTGGAGCCAAAACCAAGCAGACGGGTTACCTTCTCATTCAAACAGGAGGCTAAAGGGGTTTCAGGGAGGTGATGGGGAATGGCCCAGAGTGACAGACTAATAAGAGCCGCAAACTGACCCTGCAATAAATTAACTGGACAATATTGTGAAATGATTGTCTGGGAACGTTTTATGTGGTGGTAGTGTTTATTTGAGAGAGAGGTTCCAGTTGAAACCATAAAAGTTTGCTTCTCAGAACTCCCCAGACTTTGCTTCCTCCTTTTCCTGGGCATCAAGCTTTGTAACTATGGAGCCTCTTCAGTTCTTTTTCAGGGTTTTCTGAGATTAAGGAAACTAGCATGTGTGGCTGAGAAGCCTGGAAATGTGGGGGCCTCCAAACAATCTCTCACTTCCGTGGAGAGAGAGCACTCTCCCCATCGCTAAGTTCAGGACCTTGGCACCTCTGGTACGAATGGCTTATGATACGTAGTTCCAGAAACTGGGACCATTTCGGTAGGAAGCTGTCAGAATCCCAGCTCTCAGGACTTGCTTCCACCATCTCAATTCTTATTTTGAGCTGTAGCCTGAGCTATTAAAAACAAAACATTCTCATTGGCAAGCTCCACAATTAGCCTCGTTTCCACGCTATGAACACTGTTCTGCATGAGCTGAAATGGCACAGCAATTGTTTCTAGTCTTAGCGATGCTGTTTGCAGGGCGTGCTGAGAGCCAGCGAGGATGTGACCCGGTGGTAATCTGAATTGCTTCACCAAACACATTTTTATCCCATCATCTCGGCTACATGAAAGAGGACCATAGTGCTCCAGTGTTCAAGACTTTATAGTCCCGCTGTTCAGCAATAAAACGAGGCAAGAAATATTAGCCGTCCCTGGCTGATGCCTTAATTCTTTCCCAACAATGTCAGAGAATCTGTACCCTACAGGTTTTAGTGCCGGCTAAAGCCTGACCCTCGGGTTGGCTTGAATGGAGCGGGAATGAGTTAAGGAGAGCAAGAAGACTTTAATGGACACAGATCCCGAATAGCCCAGCTTGTCCCGGCCTCCTGCAGACTCACCCTGCTTTTCACAGGCCTCGATTGTGTATGGCCCCAGTAGAGACAAAACTACCCATGAGCAAAGGTTACCCCCAGCCGGTACAGGTCAGAGGCATTCTGGGGGAGAAAAAGTGAGGGGGTGGAGGGGAAGTGAGGGGCATAAGGAGGAAAGAAACGGAGGTGGGGTTGGGGGAAAGGGAGCAGGAAAAGATGGTGAGAATCATTTCCAAGGAGAGATTTGTCAACGACAAGGCTGTGACTTGAGCCTCTCACCTCTTGGCAAACAGTTTCTATAAACTGTTTCACAGAACAAATGGCAACTCTAGTAATTGGAAATTGAGTGCAAGGTGAGCTAATTATGAAAATAAAGAAAATGACTCTCTATAGTTTTCCAAAATCTACAGCCCTGACTCTTAGGATGTCCTCTAATTTGACAGTGCAAGAGATTTTTAAAAATTACAAACAGGTTGTGTCATATACCTCTACAGAAGCTTTTCCCAGTAATTTTTCAATTATTGCATTGTGAGCCCTCCAAGAAAAGTAAGTAATTTTGGCTCAGGGAACCCAAAGTTACCAAGTAAAGGGAACAGCATGTTCACAAGTTTGCAAACAGCCCTTTGACATGTAACATAGGCAGTGCCCTGAACTGCAATGGAAGGAGATGGGTTTGAGAGGTTCCTTAAACTTCAGGGTGGTATGAAGTCTTGGATGTCTTTCTCAGTCTGGTGAAGTCCTTGCATCCTTCCTATAAATTAATGTTTTTAATATTCTGGATTACAAATAAAGTCAATTACATAAAACTGCAGTTATCAAAAAGTTTTAATTAAATTTGAATGACTTTCCAGCACAACATGGCACTTGCCTTTTCAGTAGATCATCAAATTAAACTAAACAATGGAACTAGCAACTACTATAATCTCAAAATGGTGATAAACAAAATTGGTATTTTGAGGAATCTAAAACACCTCAAATGTGATATGAAAATGTCTATAGGAAATGTCTCTTAGTAGGAGAAGGCCCCAAGTACAGTTTACCACAGGGCCGTTGGTGGCCATAGGAAATTACTCAGTTTCAGTTATAGGCAAGTTACAATTAAGAAGTAATCTTGCTTCTGCCAAGTTCAAAGACTCCCTGAAATTTTATCCCTGGACCCTTGCTAAAGGCAGACGGGCATTTCGGGTCTTCTGCTCCAAAGCGAAACTGAGGGGCCTGGGGCAGAAGTTCATCCCATCTCACTTATTGTGAAACCTTCTTCGGTTATTTGAAACCAAGTCCCTTTCCAGGACAATCCTGAAGGCTACCAGTCCAAGACTAGTTAGACCCATTGATGTGTTTCTTCAACAGCTGGAATCATTAATTGCCAAATAATAGGCAAGTTGCTCAACTCATCTAAATTTTAATCAGGATCTTGTTCCGGCGGCCCTGCGCTGGTCCAGACTGGGGTTAGGGTTTTTCTTTTCAAAGACCCAGGATCTGGTCCTTCTTCCCCTTCATTCTTGCATTTTGGACTCACTGGCTCAAAAGCAACCACTGGGCACACACACACACACAGACACACACACACACACACACACACACACACACACACACACACACACACACACACACACACATCCTCTCTCTGGTCCTCCGGGGGGGAGCTGTCATCTAGCAACCAGAGACGTCGCATGCCTTTGCAGGGGCAACCCGGCAGGCAACTCCCTCCTCCAAAGGTCGCCCGGCTCCCGCGGCGCAGCCCTGGGCAGGCTGTGGCGCCGACACACCGGAGCCAGTCGGGGTCCTGGGTCTCAGGCTCTCGGCGGGGAAGCGGGGCGCGCGCTCGCCCACGCCCCCCACACTGCCGGGCGCACCCCCTGCGCGCGCACGCCGCCACACTCGGGCGCACGCACACCGCAGCGGCCGGGGGGACGGCACAGCGTCCGCGGCGGTCCCGAGTGGTCGGGGCCACTCCGCAGATCGCCCCCTCCTCGAGGGCGCCGCCCCGCCCCGCCCCGCCCCCTCGGACCCGCCGGGCCCCGGGCACTCCGTGGGCTGCAAAGTTTCGCGGCGGCGCTGGTTCCGCAGAAGCAGCGCGCGGGCTCGGGTTCGGCTCGGCGACTGGAGGGGCCCTGAGCGCCGGCTGCGGCTCGGCAGGCGCCAACGAACGCGCGCGGCTCTGGACCCCCGCGTCCCGCTGCCCGGGCAGCGCGTCCTCCCGCCCGCGCCTGGGTCCGCCGCGTCCCGAGCTCCCGCACTCTCCCGCCTCCTCCTCTTCCTCCTCCTCCTCCTCCCGCGCCCCTGCCCTTCTCCGCATCCCTTCACCATGGCCCACGGTCCCTCTCGGACCAGCCCGGGGCCCCAGCTGCTGCCTCTCCTGCCTCTCCTGCTGCTGCTGCTGCTTCGGGACGCCGGCGGCAGCCACAAGACCCTCGCTCAGTCCCCCTGGTCCGCGGCCATCGACGGCCTGGTGCCAGACAAGGACCCCCAGGGGGACCCGGCCGCCGCGACCACCTCTCTGGGCCCCGGAGGAGACCAGGACATGGTCGCTGTCCACATGCTCAGGCTTTATGAGAAATACAGCCGAAGGGGTGCGCGGCCCGGAGGGGGCAACACCGTCCGCAGTTTCCGGGCCCGGCTGGGTAAGTGGAAGCGGTTCTGGGATCCCGGGATGGGGTGGGAGGTGGGAGGGTGGTGTGGGTTGCTCTTGTCCTCCGTTCTCCCCCTTCCGCACTTGTCCGTTCTCCCTACCCCAGCACGTCCGCCTGTTTCTCTTCCTTCTCTTCCTTGACGCCTTCGTTCACTCTTACATGAGCTATTCTCCAAACCCGGAGCCTCCAGTGGGGACCTGGGGGGTGAAGCACCGAGTTTTCGCCCCTGGAGTGCTGCCCAGATTGGGACGGTGGCGCACACGTCCAACATCGAACTTTCCCCACATGCCAGGTTTATTTAAGCACAAGGTGGAGGGTGTTGAGCAGGACAGCATCCTTGTCAGAGGGTCCAGTAGCGTTAGCTCTTGACAAGAAGGAGGGCATGATCGGAGGATCTGACGCACCTCTGATACTGTCAGTCCCCAGGCCCAAGCAGAGGTCTGGACAGCACAGGGAGCTCAGGGAACTGAGATCAGACCAGGTTTGAACGGTTCTGAGGCCTGCTGGCCAGTGGCAAGGAGTGTTCAGACCAAAGGGCAATGAAGGGAAGCCCAGAGCTTGTGAATTGGGGGCACCCTGACTCTCTTGTCCTTTCCCTCCTGCGGGTCCTCCATTGCTCTTCCTGTGTCCTTTCTCAATCCTTGCATGGAACTGGACAGCGGCCACCTGCTGAGGCCTCCCTGCCATGCTCCCAGAGCATGTCCTGAGAGCAGTGTTAATGTTAGCATCCGCCTGCCTCAGGCTGGGCCACCACCCAGGCCAGCTGAGCAGCGAGAAGGCGCCTGGTGACAGGGCTAGTTGTCATGGAGACTACTCATGGTAACAGAATGCTGTGGTCGGAATGTGGGTGGGGGATCCCCTGCAGCCCTCAGGGAGACGGCCATTCATCAGGAGAAAGGCCTTCATCTGTAAGACCTCTCCAGATGCTCAGAGGAACAAGTTCTCCATGGCCCTGCAGCCTGCAGTGAGCCCTGCCACCTGTTTCCCCCTGGCTCTTTGTTGTGAGAACATCCATAGCCTCTGGGTCAGACATGGAAAACTTCAAAAACTGTTTACTGGGGAGCACCTGCCACCAAAAGGCCTAATCCCTCATTGTCCACTGAGCAGGCTCGCTCAGTAGGTCACTCTTCCCGGTCCAGCCAGATCTAACTGGCTGGTTGTTGACACCCTTTACTTGCCCTTTACTAACTTAGTCACTGAAGAATTATCTAGCAGTATGACCTTGGGCAGGTCACTAAATCTCAGTGGACCTGAGTGTGCTTACGTTGGGGGCTTAGGGATCTCTTTGCAGTGGGTGGCAAGGAAGAGAAGACTAGGAGCACATGTAAGGCCTGATCTTTCTCTCCCAGGGGAAGAAGCTGATGTGGTTGGTGGAGGCAGAGGCAGTGGTGCTCCCTTCCCTCAGCCAGGCCAACCCTGCCCTCAGTGTGGCTCCATTCCTCCTCTTCCATCCGAACTGAGCTCAGAGCTTGGGGGCTGGAGTGGGGGCATACAGCTCAGGGAGTTCAGAATTATTCAGTTTGGACTGGGGCTGTATGACAAGTCCATCCCCCTTCTTAAGCACTTCGATAGCCATTGGAACCACTCCTGGCTCTATTCACTGTGGATTGTGCCCCTTTATCTTTCTGATCTTGATTTCTTTCTTTCTTCTATTTTTTTGCTTTTTGAGTCACACCCGTGATGAACAGGCATTAGTCCTGGCTCATGCACTCAGGAATTACCCCTGACGGTGCTCGGGGGGAGGACTATATGGGATGCTGAGATTAGAATCCAGGTCGGCCATGTGCAAGGCAAATGTCCTCTCCACTGTGCTATCGCTGCAGCCCCTTGATTTCTTATGGAAGGTAAACATCCAATGATAGGGTGGGTTTTGTGCTGGGCACAGAGTAGCCCTATGAGGATTGATTTCTTATCCTGTCTCTCCAGGAGTTCAGACCCAGCCCCTCACCAACCTTCAGATGCTCCTGCTATTGACTCAGACCCAGTGATGAAGAGGTTTGAGTCTTGTTTCATGCATGAGGCACAAAATCAAGGGCTTCAACTGTGGTCCTGGGTCCTGATGAGCTATCTGTTCTATGAGAAGGGCTTCTGGTGCTTGGTAGCACAGGATCTCTTCCTATACAGGAAAGGCATCTGATCCTACAGCCCAGGTTGCAGTGGTCCTCACCTGCCACCCTGTAGCATAGTTTAGGATCCTAGTACAGGTTGTTAATTGAACTAGAAGATCCAAAGAATCAGTCTGTGCTCTGGCAAAAGCCTAAACTACCAAACTGGAGTTCACAATATTTCCTCCCTCAGTGGGTGGGTTAAATGCACTGACACATGTGCTGCCTGAAAACAGTGCCAGAGACATGGAAGTGTCAATAATTCATTAGCATCTCCTATTATTGTACCAGTTACTCTTCCTCCCTTGATTACTCCTAGTGCTGTGTCCTACTCCCTAATGAGTTCCCATCACTAGGAAGAACCTCTAAGTCAGACCTGAAGGGTTAGAGTTCGAAACTGCCCACTCCAAAGGATCCTTTTAAATCCAAGTCTTTCCATCTCTTTGTGCAATATTGAACAAGTAACAGCTTCACTGGGTTTTACCTCTTCATCTCTAAAATGGTAGTAATAATGCATACCCATCTGTTAAAAACGCCACGAGTCACACTCATTTCCTTTCCTCAAGGCTTTCCTAAGCACATCATTAGGTGGCACAACAATGCATACACTATTGACCCTGTGTCCAGAATAGCTCATGAGCTGATGGGGAGGGTAAAAGTAATCAGATGAATATGGGCAGTGGGACAGGTGGTGTGATGGAGTGACAAAGAGCTGGGGTGTTCTGCAGGAGCCTGTGGGTTAGCTCTGACACAGCATGGGAGGTCCCAGTGAAGCCTTGGTGGAACAGGCCCCAGGCAGGCTCTGAAGAGCAGGTGGTATTTAGCCACAAATAAAAGTGAAGCAGTCCCCTGGGCGCCAGGAATTGTGGCGAGGATTGTTTGAAGGAGGAAATAATGAGAGGGAAAAGGCTAGAGCTGGGTGGAGATGGTCAGAAGGACACAATAGGTACATAGCCTATCTATCAAGAACCTTAAGTGTTGTGATTTCTTAAGTGTTATGATTCTGCATGTAGCAGTGATTCAGTATAGTGTAGGGAGGGGGCTGGGGGCAGTGATAAGTAGAGGGAAGAGATAAGGAGAGGGCGAGAAGAGAAAGAAATAGTTATAAAAATAAAAGCACGCTTACTGGGAAAATTCTGTGAATTATAGGAAATTAAAGTTATTATCCCTATTCAAACGTAATCAGAGATAATATGTTGTGTATAATATATATCTAATATATAATATTGATAGGTATATAGATGTATAGATAGATGATAGATAGATAGATAGATAGATAGATAGATAGATAGATCGATCAATCTCTAGCTTATACCCTGATGGGACCATATTTTAAAACTTGGTTTTCCTTGTTTGGTTTCCTTGTTATCTTAATTTTTCAGTACTGCTCACCCTACACTGCTTTGTTTGAGCTCATTAGCTTTTCATAGTCTGACAATTGCCCTACCATGTGGGGGCTTTTGTCTTTTTCTTAGTGATATGTTAAGGGTCTTTTACCTATTAATGACATTGATCCTTCATCAATAGTAGGAAAGTGTTTTGAAGCCACACTTGTGAAACCTGACTGTGACTGTAGGTGGAAAAGGGGGATTGGTGCGTGGGGGGGGCACGTTCTAGGTACCCAGGTAGGCACTGTTGAAGGAGGTAGAGTTCAGGATGGTTGTGGAGAAATAGAGTGCAAAGCCAATAGGAACAAGGGTTGGTTAGAAATGAGAGGGGGAGAGGTAGTGATAATTCTCAAGATCCTGCTGAATTAGAGACTGTCCTTTCATTGGGTGCAAGGACAGAGAGCAAGTGAGTGAGATCATGAGAGTATTAGTAGTTAATGATGTCTCTATAGTAGTGTCACCTGAGCCTATTCTGGGTTCCAGACACTGTGCTATCGTCTTTGAGCGTGAGCTTGCAGTTTTAGAAGACATCTAAAATACACTCCCTGGTTTAAAGAAAAGGAAACCGAGGCATAGAGTTTTTCCATGACCAGCCTAAGGCTCCTCAGCTAGTGAAAACTTCCAAGCAATATATGAACCTGGACTCTAGGAGCCTGCCTGGACAAAGACACCCATTCCATGGAGCACCACTAGATGGCCAGCTCTTGCTTCCTTTAGTTCATGTTGATGTTTGCATCTTCAGTACAGTGTTCTCTTTCTAGTTACCCCTAGAGCTATTTTAAGGGAAGCTCTTTTAAAAGGCAGATCTCTAGGTCACCTGAATTCTGACTCTGGGCAGAACTGTCTGAAGTTGCACTGAACCTGATGGTGGCCAAGAGAAAGTGCTGGGCTGAAGGTTCCTTCCTTGTGTCTCTCCCTTCCTATATTTCTCCTGTCCCCAGAAAGGATGTTAAGTGCAGTGCAAAATTATTCATGTACAGATTCCTAAAAATTCATGAAGAGAAATTTAATTGTCTAAATAAGGAAGAGCCTTTCTTTCTTAGACAGCCAGAATGGGAAAAATGCAAATTAAATAATGACTGTTTGCAAAACAGCAATTCACCATGTACGATCTTTGGTACATTTGTTGTTAGGCAGATGATAATTATGCACCAAGTGACAGGCTTGGTGTTAGATGGCCCTAAGTGAACTCTCTGGTTCAGCTGCCTGCATGCTGGGTGACATTAGGCAAGATCAGAGCCTCTCTGAAGTTCGCTTTAGGTTTATATACAGATAACCCATCCCTGCTACCATCATTGGATGGTGTGCATGTAGGAATAAATTGTGCATGTATGCTTGGAGCTTGCTGCTTGGAGCCCCACAACTAGTAAGTAATGTAAATGCTATTTTTAAAGATGAGAAAAATTGAGACTCAAGAGGAAGTAACTGACAAAGATTCTGTTGCCCATAGTCTCCGATTCGCATCATTGCATCTTTCCAAAGAACAAGTCTGTCTGGACTACTTTCAGAATCTATTTGATGAGTCCGCCATTGGTCATCTAAAGTGAATAAATCTGGAAAAGACCCAATTCCTCTGTCACTCAATACTTCTTTCTGAGCATCGGCCACCCTCAGGCCTCCCACAGAGATATAGGATACAGCCATGCACAAAGAGGACACAGGCCACACTCTCTCGTCTGTGTCCTGGTTTGTATGTGGAGGGAAAATGAAGAAGAAAAGAATATGGATCAGGATATCAGAAAATGACAATGACATATGAGGCAAGGGACCAAAAGGACTACTGTTCCAGCCATGAGAGCCCAGGATTCCGTTGTTGGTGTGCAAGAAAGAAAGGATCGGGGCTGGAGTGATAGCACAGCGGGTAGGGCATTTTGTCTTGCACGCAGCCGACCCAGGTTTGATTCCCAGCATCCCTGGTCCCCTGAGTACCGCCAGGAGTGATTCCTGAGTGCAAAGCCAAGAGTAATTTCTGAGCATTGTGAGAAGAAGAAGTAGGAGGAAGAGGAGGAGGAGGAGGAGGAGGAGGAGGAGGAAGAGTAATAAGAATAAGGACAGGTCAAGTTTAGGACTAGTGCTGAGTTAGATGTTTCCTGAGGGAGACAGTGAGGCTAGGGGGACTGGTGCAGAGAGGTGGGAGAGGTAGGCAAGTCTGGCATGGTAGGGTTAGTTGTGGAATTTTATGGAGGGAGGGGGCAGTGAACACCTGAGATGGAGTGTGCTCAGCACACAGTGGGAGCTCCTTGGACAGGTTTACTCTCTGCTCACCAGACATGCCTCTCTGACCAATCTGCTGTGGCCCTGGTCATCCCGAAACTGATACAGACTAGGAGTTTCCAAAATGCTTACTGGGCAAAGGGAAGGAGGTGGGAGGGAGGGGACCTTAGGAGGCAGAGAGTGGAGGAAGGTGGAAATGTGGAGGGAGAGTGGAGGAGAGTGTACAAGTGGGAGGGGATGGGGCTCTTTATGTCCCTGACAACGACTTCAGGCAGATGCCTCCTCTCTGAGCCCCACCAGAGCGCGCGCACACACACACATGCAGAGAGAGCAGAGCAAGTCTCATATCTTCCCCAGCAGTTCCCAGTAGGGAGCATCTTCGTGTACCAGCTGCCTAGTGTGGAGTAAGCTCCCAGTGGCCAAGGGTGTTCAAGTCAAAGAAAGAGTTCTGGCCTGGGGGATAAGTGTGACTCCAGACTAGCTTACCTGGGTTCCCCATCCTAAGTAAAGGGCAATATTTCTTGTCTTTTCCTATGCAAAGACAATTGCAGACAAGGCTAGTGTCCTCTATGGTACTGCTTCCCATTCTCCCACCACCTCTCTTGGGCCAAAGCTGCTGTTTCTGTTGTGTTGGCCACTGTTGTCCTTTATAATCTCTATCATCTCTTATGTCACCTCTTATGTCTCATCTCTTAAGTCGCCCCAGAGAGAAGTGCCCTAACTTCTCTCTGGGGAGCCCTCTTTGCTCCCCTAGTTTTTCCCTTCTGGCCAGGGGCAAGAGGCCAGGGGTCTCCAAGCCAGAACTGTCTGTATCTTGTTGAAAGGGTCAACTCTGTGGAAGAGTCATAAACATGTTTCATGTTTCCTAGAAAAGAATATGTTGGCAGAATGAGAGTGTTAAGAAAACACATCTGCCATGTTAGCTGGATCACAGCTCTGAAGTTTGGAGACTGAATGGGTGGGTCCAAGGTGGGGGTGGGGTGTGGGGGGAAGTTATTCTGCCAGTCTTGGTTCTCTAGATTAAAGTGGCAGGGAGTCACAGTTCAGGCCACTTCTGTGCCTGGCACACTCCATGTGCTACTTATTTTCATGCACTAGTCACATGTGCTAGAGATTCTCTTGTCCTTCTGAGTCAAATGAGGAAAGGGAGTTCCAGAGCATCCTGCAGACCTGTGAGGATCCAGAAGCCGGGTTCCTAGGTCTGCCTGCTCAGGGAATGAAGGGGACTTGCATTTTTGGTGAACTGTTAGCCCACCCACGGGTCCACCATAGATCCTGCAGATACACAGCCACCCCTCATCTTCTTACCTCCACCCCGCAGCCCTGCTTACCAAAATTCCGAGAGCTAGAATCCCCAGGGTGCTGATTAGAATACAGATACCTGATTCCAATCTCTGACTACTTTAGGGAGGAGGGCTGTGATCAAAGAAGTCTGGAAACACTCTAGACACCAGGACACTTGTGGCCACAGTGCTTGGGGAAATCAAGTGTGAATGTGCCTCAAAATTATACATGGTTCAGGACTGGAGCAATAGCACAGAGGGTAGGGTGTTTGCCTTGCACGCGGCCAACCCAGGCATCCCATATGGTCCCCTGAGCACTGCCAGGGGTAATTCTTGAGTGCAAAGCCAGAGGTAATCCCTGTGCATTGCTAGGTGTGACCCAAAAAGCAAAAAGAAAAAAAAAGGATTATACATGGTTCCATGTAGTTGTGTATGAGGGGGCATGTTGGGGTTGGAGATGGAGGAATACACTGAGGGGTCGCAACACCCCTCTTGTGAATTTTTTCTAAGTACTAGAGCAAATGGGGACTTCAGAGTGTTGTCTAAGCCTTGATTGCCATTGAGGTGGATCCTTAACTGCAGGTTCCCTTCCTCTCCCAAGTGGTTGAAAAATTGCTAATCAAATGCTACCTACTGATGGGTCTTGGAACACTGTATGACTGAAACCTAATTGTGAATGGCTTTATAAGGGTCTTTCTCACAGTAATTCAATAAATTAATTAATGAACGAACAATACCTCCTTCCCAATAAAAACAAAACCCCCTGATGTCAGCTTCTTGGCACCTCGCTGATCCAGCTATAGATGCAGATATTAGGGACATTGTGGCCCAACACAGGTCTCGGAGTGTCCTAGATCTACTCCACTCCCATCCCCAGGCACAAACTTGGGTCACCAGGCTCTATACTCTTCTAGTGTCAGCCCCTCCCCAGAAGGACACCAGAAACAGAGCCCAGAGTAGCTCTGGTTTCCTACTAGTCTGCAACATCATGGGAGGCTCAGGAGTGATGGATGAACCCTGAATCTGACTTGCTCATTTTCAGGAATTCTGCTCCCTGGGTTCAGTGCACCGTCCTAGGCTCCAGACTAGAATGACCAACCCTGGGGCCCCACGGCACACCTGGTAGAACCAGATGAGAAGAAAATGCAGATTACCACTGAAGGGATGTAGGGACAGATCATCCTTTAGCTGCAGATGTGATGTCTGCGGGATTCTGGTCTTTCTCCTTGGTTTGTCGGGTTGAAAGCTGCCTGGGTTTGGCTTCATGCAGTTCTGATGGCAGTCTGGTTATTTAAAAAAAACTTTGGGTATAGTAAATACAGATCAATATAGTAAAATGGTCCCAGTTCTCTTAGAATACACTCAGCACACAGGGACAGTATGAGGTTTCTTACATCTTTCACCTCCTTTAGAGAAATGTCCATCTAATGCCTATAGAGTAGAGGACAGTACAAGAAGCTGGAGAGAGAGCTCTATGGGCTGGAACGTACGCTTTGCATGTAAGAGACCTGGGTTCAGATCCCAGTACCACCTGGTTCCAAAGCACCGCTTAAAGTGATCCCAGGCTATATGTAGCCCCTGAGCAAGACAGTATAGCCCTCAAAACAACTTCCTCTCCAAAGTAAGTAGACTGCAGGGCAGATATGGGGGCAGATTGCTATCACTAAGAATTGGGCCCCACTCAAGCTATTCAAATACAAGCTTTTACCTTCTTACCTTAAATGTGTCAATGAGTCCAGTTTCACTCCACCTTGACAAGGTTCTGCAGTGCATGGTGGGGAGGGAATAGGAGCTCTAGGTCCTCCAGATCTGAGTACTGACACTGTATTTTTTTTCCACATTGGGGTGTTGACAATCCCCAACCTCTTGAACCAATTCTTCAGTTTAATGTGAGAATTACCTGAGCCAGAACTGTGGTGATCTGGAAGTGCTCAGTGAATGGGCTTCCTTCCTTCATCCTTGGTAATCTCTGAGCCTGAGGGCCCATCTGGGAAACCCTAACAAGCTGTGGTCTGCTCTTTCCTCACAGAAATGGTCAACCAGAAGGCCGTGTATTTCTTCAACCTGACTTCCATGCAGGACTCAGAAATGATCCTCACAGCCACATTCCACTTTTACTCAGAGCCCCGGTGGCCCCGGGCGCGTGAGACACCCTGCAAACAGCGGGCCAAGAATGCGTCCTGCCGCCTTCTGCCCCCCGGCCCGCCCTCACGTCAGCACCTGCTCTTTCGCAGTCTTTCACAGAACACAGCTTCACAGGGGCTACTCCGGGGGGCCATGGCCCTGGTGCCCCCACCACGGGGCCTATGGCAGGCCAAGGACATCTCCCCCATCGTGAAAGCAGCCCGCCAGGACGGCGAGCTGCTTCTTTCTGCTCAGCTGGATTCTGGGGAGAAGGGCCTGGGGGTCCCGAGGGCCAGTCTTCTTGCCCCCTACATCCTCATCTATGCCAATGACTTGGCCATCTCAGAACCCAACAGTGTGGCAGTGACGCTGCAGAGATACGACCCCTTCCAGGCTGGAGACCCGGAGTCTGGCGCAGCCCCCAACAACTCAGCAGATCCCCGAGTGCGCCGTGCTACCCAGGCCTCTGGGCCCCTTCAGAACAACGAGCTGCCAGGGCTAGATGAGAGACCAGCCCATGCCCCCCATCCCCATCACTACCACAAACACGAACTCTGGCCCAACCCGTTTCGAGCATTGAAACCCCGGCCAGGCCGCAAGGACCGCAGGAAGAAGGGCCAGGAGGTATTCCTGGCCTCCTCGCCAGTACTGGACTTTGATGAGAAGACCATGCAGAAGGCCCGAAAGAAGCAGTGGGACGAGCCGAGGGTCTGCTCCCGGCGGTATCTGAAGGTGGACTTCGCAGACATCGGGTGGAATGAGTGGATCATCTCGCCCAAATCCTTTGATGCCTACTACTGTGCGGGAGCCTGCGAATTCCCCATGCCCAAGGTAGAGTGTGTGTAAGCAATCCCTCTGAGTCCCACGGGTGGCTCAGCTGTCAGTTCTCACATCTGCCCCTTTGGCAAGTCCTTCTGCCTCAGAATCTCTGTCTTCTCTGCCTCTTGCCTGTAAGACAGGCATCATGACACTTCCCATCCAGGTAGCAGGCAGGAGATTAGGACTCCTTGGTCCTCAGCCTGGCAGCCCGGGGCATGGATGTGATTTGACCGCAGTTGTGAAGGTAATGCTTTGGTTGAGCTTTGAAGTAGAACACTTCTTCTTTTGGAAAGAAGGAAAATCTACATAACAACTTGTAGAGGCTGAAGAGACAGTGTCCTCTGGAATGGACAGGTTTACCCAAGTCCCTTGTTTCTTCTCATAGCTTAGACCTAACTTTATGGCATCTGTGTCCAGCACAAAGCTTGGCTTCAGTGACTTTCCAATATGGGATTCCCCCTTCCTTCCTTCCTTCCTTCCTTCCTTCCTTCCTTCCTTCCTTCCTCCCTCCCTCCCTCCCTCCCTCCCTCCCTCCCTCCCTCCAACTATCAGCGACTGCTCTTTGGTTCTTATGCTGCTGCAAGTGGCAAGACACACAACTTGAGTTTGATTCATTCAGTGCGCTGACACCAGGATTTCTGTTCACACCTTCCCTCTGGGCTAGAAGGTGACCTGGCCCCTCCCATATTTCCTGTGTCTGGCTGACGTGGACCCCAGGCACACAGCACACAGATCCCCACTGCTCAGCAACCCTGCTGAGTTCCAGGTCATGCATTCCCCTCCAAAAAAGGAAGTCAGTGCATAAATCCAATTCGAACATAAATCAGTCAGCCATCTGGGAGCTCCCACCCCCCAGCATGAAGCAGCATTAACCTGTTTGGGGTGCGTCTCAAAGCCGTGCATGTGTGAGGAGGAAGAGGAGGAGGAAGGAAGGTGCTGGGGAGAGACTGGTATGTGCTGGGAAAACTGAGCTCAGGCCTGAGCAGGCTCCAGCTGGCTGACCCAGCGCTTACCTTATTGGCCTGGCCTGCTGCCTTCCTGCCTCTCCTGATATCATGCTGAGCCCCACAGATCAGATTTTGCTGCCTTGCTCCCCACACAAGGAGCTTTACTCCTCCTCAGGCTGTATGTTCAACTCTCTGGCCAAGGATGAGCTGAAGCTCCTGCGATGAGTCCCGCTCGTGGCGTGGGAAATGCTGATGGGGCAGCATGCTTCCGGTCTTTAGGGGGAGTATGTTGGAGGCGGGGGCGGGGGCCATACAGTCCTTCTGGACGTGAGGCTGTCTGGGTGGGGAGGGATTGTGTGCCCCACCGAGCCTGATTTCCAAACCCAGCTGCTATCTAACTGGAGGGTCTCGATCCAGTTACTTAGCCACTTTCAGCCTAAGTTTCTTCCCCAATAAAATGAAGGTAAAACCCACACCAGAGAACTGGTCACAGTCACAGTCACGGTCACGGGTCTCCCATTGTTCATCGATTTGCTTGAGCGGCCCAGTAACGTCTCCATCATGAGACTTGTTGTTACTGTGTTTGGCATATCGAACACATCACGGGTAGCTTGCCAGGCTTTGCTGTGAGGGCGAGATACTCTCGGTAGCTTGCCGGGCTCTCCGAGAGGGGCGGAGGAATCGAACTCGGGTCGGCCATGTTGGCCGCTTGTAAGGCAAATGCCCTACCGCTGTGCTCTCGCTCCAGCCCCACCAAAGAACTGATGATGACAAAATGAAATGACAAAGGTGAAGTGCTGTCTGACACTCCCAAGTCAGACCTGCCTGGAAATTTGTTTCTGGTTCCTTCGAGTCCACCTGCAGACCGTGCACTGTAGTGCTAAGAGCATCCTCATCCGGGAAGCATGTCTCTGCTCCTCAAGCAGTCTGGGCAGCTGTGGTCCAGTGTTCCCTGCTGGGTTTCTCCATACACTTTGCTCTGGACAGCTCCTGCCCATTTCCAGGCACGCCTCCAGGCTGCATGACGCGCAGGTGCCCCCCAGTGGCCAGTGCTGGGTAGGGAATGGGACTTCTCCCAACAAATTGAGCCCAAATTCTGATGCATTTCCTGGGACTTTGTTTGGGCCAACTTCTGAGTAAAAAAAAAAAAAAAAAAAATAGAAGATCCCCTCTATTCTGCTAAGTTGATGTCTTTCCCGTGGCCTCCGATGGGTACACAGATGCTGTGGTAGTTGTGGTGGTGGTGGTGGTGTGTGTGTGTGTTGTGCTCACGTGTGCACGTGCGCAGGTGTGTTTGTATGTGTAGTAGGCTACCCAGGTAACCATGCTCCTTTTCTGTCTTCCAGGTCGTCCGCCCGTCCAACCATGCCACCATCCAGAGCATTGTGAGGGCTGTGGGCATCGTCCCGGGCATCCCCGAGCCCTGTTGCGTTCCTGACAAGATGAACTCCCTTGGTGTTCTCTTCCTGGATGAGAACCGGAATGTGGTTCTGAAGGTGTACCCCAATATGTCTGTGGAAACGTGTGCCTGTCGGTAAGAAGAGTCACTCTGAGGACCTGGAAGCCCAGCCCTGCCCAGCCCCTGCCTGGCAGTTCAGCACCCACACGTCCCCTCTGGAGTGGGGGCTTGATGAGTGGTAGAGCTAAAAGACAGATCAGGGCCGAACACCTGGCTTCTGGGTTCCAGAAAGATCTTTTCCCCAGAACATCTTTCTGGAATCTTCCATTGCTGGCATCGTCGCTTCCTAAATGCCAATTTAGATCTGAATGACCTGGGATAATCTGAGACTCAGTCCTGGCTGACCGCTGATCTTTCCGCACTGCCCTGAAGACCTGAAAACCCAATGCCCAGCTGACTCTTGCTGTCATCAGTCCGTTGTCTGGAAATAACCTCTGTTTAATCAATTTAAAACACTTTGGCCTCATATTGAAACTGGAACCCAGGGCCTCCCTAATGGTATAAGTGGATGTTCTCTTTCTACCATCGTGGCAAAAGCTTTTATACATACATTATGAACTTATAACCAACTTTGTTTTTTTTCCCTTAATATATATTTTATTCTGAAGCTAAAAGGAACACGTTGACTTCATACACAGGAATAATCATGCTGGTGACATGTACGTTGTTTAAACATGCATATTAAAATAACACACACAGTAATATGTTGGGATACTAAAAAATAACCAAGATTTTTATATTTTTGTAAATTATACTTTCTATACTGTAGATTGTGTATGTTATGTGTTTTTATGGCTAGCTAATAAAGATACAGTGGTATCTTGAAAAAATGTAATGTTACTGTTCTATTCTAAAATATCTTCTGGTGTCCATCCATATGACATCTGGTGACTGCAGAGGACACAGACAAACCCCACTAAGGTCAGCTCCGCACTCTAGTCCCTGTCATGAGCTCTAGAAACCAGAGGTTTTGCACCTCCCAGCATCAAGGCCACCCACCCTGACCTGCAGCTCCCCAGTGTGGGTTGATTTGGGTAGGACATAGCCTGGGACAGGTACGGTGGCCCTGTGCACTTTCTCTTCATCTCTGAGGAGAGAGTGAGTGCTTGAATGGAGGGGTGGGAAGAGCCATCAGTAGGGTCGTCTGTGACTTCCAGTTTTCTGGGCCTCTCATTTGGGGCAGTTCAAGCAGAAAAGTCCAGGGAAGCCATCAGGGAACTCTCCCAAGGGTGTGGAGTGTCTGTTTCTTCCCAGGTATGTTTATAGAATGGCCACCTCCTACTTCCTGGTCAGTCACCCCCAGATAACTTCCCTCCATACTCACTCCCTCTATGCTCACTCAGGCCCAGGTTTGACACCTCGCAGCCATAGTGCTGGAAGTGGGTTGTCCAGCATTTCTGAAAGTGGATCTGACTGATTTGGTGTCACTGTATACCATCCCCTCAGCTGGAATCCCACCGGACGGACTTGGAGTAGACGGTGAAGCCACGAGCAGTGGCATTGAAGGAGAGAAGCACCTGAAAATGCTTAGGTCAGACTCTGGAGCTTCTCTGCTCTTGGGAGGAGGAGAAAAAGATAAAAGAAAGGTAAATGGGAGGGGAGGGTCAGAAGTCCAGTGTTTCATTTTGCCCGGATCTCATGGGGATTACTGAGGACCAGTTAAATCTCAAGACTAGTTTTGTCTTGTGACACAGGGGCTGGATGTTCAGACCGCCTCAGGCTGCTCTCTGGGAGCATGAAACTGCCTGCTCTCTGGCCTCTGCACAGGCAGCTATAATGGCTTCTACACCCAAGTAGCCTCAGAAGAAGTAGCAGTGGCAGACACAGAAGACAAAGCCATCAGCACTTGAGAGAGATTTCATGATAGGGAAGTGGACTGAGAGCACCTGAGTGCTCAATAGCAGCTGCTCAACCATCCTCTAACGTATTCCTAGAGGTCCTGGGATATGTGTGTGTGGACAGTCCACCCTGTGCATGACCCTAGGTCTCCTATGCTATCAGGTGGTCCTTCATACATACAACTGCTTTCTACCCACAAACATTGTATGCACTGAGTGAGTCATTTAGGGACACTAAAGGTGGGGCATGTCTCCAAATAATTCATTCATTGGAAACGGGCAACTCAAATCTGTCTGCAAACTTAGTGCTTGCTTTGCTGTGTCAAACCCTTCTTGGAGCATGACAAGGTATATGTTAATAGCAGAGTAAGTAAAAATATTAGGACTTGATAAGCCTAAGATAAGCTGTTCTTAACAGTAGATGCCTGCTTTCTTACCTCTCTTACTCTATTTTTCCATCAACCTGCTCTCTTTCCTTTTTTTTCTTGATAAAAATGGGGTGTTCTATAATGGTTTGATTCTTTTGGGCATCTGCAATTTCTGGAAGAATGTCTCAGTCACTCTCTTCATGCCAAAGCTCCAAAGCTCTTCAGAGCTTTCAGAGCCTTCCTTTCTAGATCACAGGGGAAGGAGAGCACTGGGAGCATCATTCCTGTGTCTTAACAACTAGCAGGGGCTCTGGTGGTGGGGATGGATGGGATGGTACCCAACGGTGACGTTTTCAGGGTATGAAAGAAGGAACTTGTGTCATCAGGGACCCCTCACGTTTACAGAGCACCACACAGATTAGCTATGGTCTGTCCATCACTCTGGGAATGGCAGCAACCTCACGACTTACTATCAATTTGATGCCTACCAAAAAAATAGACAAGATTGGTAAGTAACATTACCCCAATGTCTTATTAAGACCAATATCAGCTTTTACACCCAAAGCTGTCTGGGCATCAGAAACAGCCTGTGGGACATAGCTGTGGCAAAAGCCACAATATCACCAACACACATCTTAGAACATCTTGAGGTGCTCAATGACATTTGCAGAGATGAGCACTAACAAACTTCCCAGGAAGGGGCCTCTGTACTTCTGTGAGTCAGCATCAGCTCACTGAGTATCAGATGGCAGGAAAGATGAGTCAGCTCAAGCCCACATAGAGAGTAATGCTGGGGGCCTTATAAGCAGTTATCAGATGCATCCATCAGGGTGACCTTGATCAGAACACATAGTTCATGTGGCAGTGGGGGATACTGAAGGACAGGCAAGACTGACTCAGAGAGAAGAAGATAGTGAAGATGAGAAGACAGCCTAAGGGAAAGCATAGCTGAGGCAGGGGCTCTGCAGAAGGGAAGGATAAACTACCCATGGGGTGGGAGAGAGGCAATTCGTCAAGGAAAGATTAGAAACTACTGACAACAGAATAATGATGAGAATCATAATAATGAGCACTCAACGTATTCCAGTATCTCTGTTAAAACACTGCTCTGTGTCCAAAGGAATACCAAAGAAGTATATCCCCCCCACCCCATACAAAGGAACACATTATATTAAACATGATTCCTGAGCACAGTTCTTCCAATGAAAGGCAGTCACTCCTGGCACTTCAGTAAGGCTAAACCTTGACACTGTGATATGGCTCACCACACCTGGATGTATGTTATAGTCCATCCCAACTAGAAATGTTCTAGAAATGTAAAATTCCACTAGAGGTGTATATGCTGCCCTAGCCCATGTGCTGTTTGAGCCCACGTGGCCAAGCACATGTGATGCTCAAGCACATGTGTCGCCCGCATCTCCCCTCTTGAGATGAGTACTTTCATGCTTTCGTGTCAAATGCTGGGATGTATCAAGGGGCTCTCTCTCCACTCTTGGAGAAGCCTGCATTTTCTTTCTTTTTTTAAATTTTTATTAGTGAAACACCATGAGGTACAGTTATAGACTTACAAATTTTTGTGCTTGGGTTTCAATTATACAGTGATCAAATACCCATCCCTCCACCAGTGCCCATTTCCCACCACCATGGATCCCAGTATCCCTCCCACCCCCAATCCCCCCCATCCCACCCTGCCTCTGTGGCAGGGCATTTCCTTTTGTTCTCTCTCTCCTTTTGGGTGCTGTGGCTTGCAAAAAAGGCATTGAGTGGCAGTCATGTTCGGTCTATAGTCTACTTTCAGCATGCTTCTCCCATCCTGGGAGGATCCTCCCAACACCCATTATTTGGTGCTCCCTTCTCTATCTGAGCTCCCTTTTCCCCTAGCATGTGTGGAAGCTCGCCTTTTCTCTTGAGTGCATCTCTCTCTCTCTCTCTCTCTCTCTCTCTCTCTCTCTCTCTCTCTCTCTCCAACCCCCCTTCACACCTTCAAAAACCCTCCAAATAAAATTTATTTAATTACACAGGGACCCTGGCAAGCCCCCTGTGGCGTATTCGATATGCCAAAACTTGTGGTAACAACAAAGAACAACAAGTCTCACAATGGAGATGTTACAGGTGCCCACTCGAGCAAATCGATGAACAAGGGGGGTGGGGGGGCAGCGCTACAGTGCTAAAAAAAAATCTCAACTATTGTTTAGTTTTGGTTTATTGGGTCACACCGAGCAGTGGTCAAGCTTATTCCTGGCTGTGCTCAGGGATCTCTCATGGTGGGCCTTGGGGAATTACATATACTTCCAGGGATAGAACCCAAATTGATTACATGCAAGGGATGTTCCTTACCTGCTGTTCCTCTCTCTCTCTCTGGACCTAGAAATTGAGTCTTGTTGCAAGCAGATAGAATAGAGAGTGCTATGTTGGCACTATAGGAACTCCTTGATTCAGCTAATAAAAGTGAAAATTAAGAAATATTTCTGAAAAAGCAATTTTTCCTTGTTTATCAAAAACTTCTAGAATATTTGTGCATACCTGAACTTTGATATGATAGTTTGGATGTAAAATGTTGTATAAAATATAGACTCTTCTAACATACTCTACCGAGAGTATTCGATATGCCAGACACAGTAACATACTCTAATAACCCATGATTATTATTTATATAGTCTGATTCTCTACAACTGTAGTGTATTAAATACATTTTGGTATTTACTAGTTAGTCATTTGGTCCTATGTGATCAGTTTATTTCATGTAGTATATCTTCAAGGTTCATTCATTTTGCAGCTTGAGTAAGAATTTACTTTCTACTAACATGGGTAAGAATTTCCTTCTTGTTAAAGGCTGAATAATATACCTTTGCATGTGCATACACTGCATTTTTAATCACTCATTGATGGGGCCGGGCCTCCTTATATTCCTTTACTGTTGTGAATAATATCATTATAAACTTATATGTACAAAGGTTTCTTTGAGATACTGATTTAAATTATGTTGGGTCCACATGCAAAAGTAAAATTTCTATCTTATTTATTTACATCTATCAAGGAGTTTTTTCTTCTTCTTCTGGTTTTGAGGTCAGACCCAGCAGTGTCCAGAGATTACTCCTGGCCCTTTGCTCAGGGATCATTCTTGGTGGGGCTCAGAGAACCATTTAGGGTGCTGGGGGTGACAGGATGCAAGGTAAGTGCTCTACTTACTTTACTACTGCTCAGACCCTGAGGTTTTTTGTTGTTTTTGTTGTTGTTGTTTTTAGGAAACCTACCTCTGGATTGTTTTCCATAGTCCCTACACAATTTTACATAAGATTTCAATTCTTCCACCACAACGTCCTCTTAGTAGTGTGCATTTTTATTTGCAGTCCACTGTCCTCCCATTGTTCATCGATTTATTCGAGCGGGCCCAGTAATGTCTCCATTCTGAGACTTCTTGTTACTGTGTTTGGCATATTGAATATGTCACAGGTAGCTCGCCAGGCTTTGCCATGCGGGCGAGATACTTTCGGTAGCTTGCCGGGCTCTCCGAGACGGGCAGAGGAATCGAACACGGCTCAGCCGGGCTGGCTGCACGCAAGGCTAATGCCTACTGCTGTGCTATCAATTTGCAGTCCTAAGACTAGTGATTTTAAATATCACCTCATATGTTTAATGCCCTTTGTTCTACTTATGTGGAGAAACTATTCAGGTTTATTGCCTATTTAAATTGTTCTTTGTTAAATAGAGGTTCTTTTTTTTAAAGGAATTACTTGTGTATTCTGGATATTAATAACTTATCAGATAGGTTATTTTCAAATAGATTTCTGAATTTTCTAGGTTGGTTCTTATTCTTTTATATCATCTTTTGATGTTAACAGTTTTTTATTTTGATATTGATCAATTTGTCTTGTTTACATAGCTATAGCCTCTTTGAGGCTGTTGTATCTAAGAACTTATTGTCAGATTCAATGCCATAAATCCTTACCCCTTTTATTCTTCTAAGAGTTATTTGTTTTTCATTTTAGGACATGTTTGGGCCTTAGATCCATTTTGAGTTATATTTTGTATTTTTTTATTATGGAAAATTCTAACTTCATCCTTTGGTATGTGAAAATCCAATTTCTCCAGCACAAAATCTTGGAAAGACTTTGCTCTTTAACTACTAAATGACCTTGGCAGCCTTCTAAAATGTAATTTGATCATATAGACTTTTAAACAAAAACTTGCATATACCAAGTCTTTACATGCAAAATATATTAATCACCTGACCAAAAATACAAATAAGGCAGAGATTACAGATATTTGGTCTAAATTGTCAAAAACAAAGCATAACAGACTTTCCTTTGTCTAGTCTTAGACACATGAAACTATCATAATACTTTTTTGTTTGAATAATGACATAATGAATTTCCCTGAAAAATTAAGTGAAGAATTTTAAAAGACCTTATTCAGGGAGGTAGAAGAAGGAAAGAATAGAGATGAGTAAGGACTTGTGGTTTGAATCAGGTGCCCTTCTGAAGGCCCCAGTAATGGAGAGTCGCTGAGTAAGAGAAGGAGCCCTATTGCAAGAGGACTTCTGATCTTATCAGAAAGACAAAATAAAACTCAAACTCTTTTTACAGAGTAAAGGGGAACTATTTAGAAGGACCCAGGCCTCTTTATATGGAAAGGGACTAAAACCTATGAAATCCCACTGATTGAGGATGTAGGAGTCTGTGCTGGTGACCCATTATCCCCGCAAAATCCTAAAATATTGGCCACGAATCTATGATCACATTGACCTTTTCTCTCTCTAATCAGTCACTTTCCACAGTTATTTCTGGAGAATGGGTACTCCTACGAGTGTAGAGAAGAAAGCAGCTACTTCCATACCCAGTGAGGATATCACCAAGTCCTGTGAAGTATGTGTGTGTGGGGGGTGGGGGGAATAATGGGGGGGGGCGGGAAGATTGGACAAACCAGGGCGTCTCAGCAACTGTGCACAATTAGCTACTAGATTCATTATATGTAGAATTATGCATGCACGTGTATTACAAACCTCTGATACCCCCAACCCCAACTTCACCCCCTACGGCAAAGCCAGTTATCACTGATAAGTGACTTGTGAAGACACTTTTATTTGCTTTACCAATACAACATTTAAAAAAGTTGGACTGACACCATCCTACTTTATATTCTTTGGTCTGAAAAATTTTACTGGGCACCTGAACAAATCAGCAAAGGGGTGCCACAAGTGGAAAAAGAATTAGATTTCCCAATAACATGAACTAGGGAATCTCATGCAGCTACTTAAGCACTATAAAGGAGATGAAGACTACTGAGTGCTTCAGTTTGCTGGACTGACAGTCCCTGAATGCACAGACTTGCTGCATTACAAAGCTGTGGTGGCAACATCCACATAGCAGTCAATGTGATGGACACATCCAGGCCTGGTTCTCACATAGCCACCATTCTGCCCTACAAGTTTCCCATACATAAACAGGTTCACGGTTCTTTATCCAAGATGCCCAATTCCTAAACTCTCAGAAAACCTCAAGCCCCTTTTTATTTAATTTATTTTTTAAGAAGTTTTATTGGATAACCATGAAATATAGTTACAAACTTGCATGATAACATTTCAGGCACAATGCTCCCATCCCTCCACCAGTGCACATTTTTCACCACCATTGTTTCCAGTCTCCCACCTGCCACCCCCACCCAAACCCACTCGCTACCTCTGTGGCAGATTTAATCCTTCTCACTCTCTCCCTAATTTTGGACAGCCCCTTTTTAACACAGTTTCTGGCAAAATTGACAATGTGGATTTGTTTCTTTGTTTCACAGCAGAAATATTCATGCTTGACTATACCTGTTATCACTCACCCCACTGGGATAAAGCAATGGAGACATCACAACAAATTTACAAGACTTGAACTCCCTGAATCTCAAGCACTTCTAGTCACATGGTTTGAAATAAGGAGTTGGGAAGTTGCATTATCTCAGAATTTTAACTGTGGCTACCACTGGATGATTAGATTGTAGGATCTTTTTATATCTCTCTTTATAGTTTTTACCATGTTTTGCATATTTCAAGTTACTTGCATTATGTACTATCATTATCCCCAGGGAAAAGAATTGTTTTGATTTTAAGAAAGCACCCAGTAGCAACTGTTTGTGCTTTTCTGAGCACTACCTGCCTTAGGCTCTGCCTCTTGAATGCAGGTTTAGGGGTTACTGTCAGGCAGAGAAACACAATGAGGGGGGCCGGTCCTGCTCCCCAGCTCCTCCCAGTATTTCACCGTTGTGGCTCTACTTCCTGCTGGCTTAGCGCCCCTTCATCATTTCCCTGCTCTGGGAATTTTCCCTGCTCTGGGGAATTATTGCACTTAGCTGGCTCAGTGCCCAACGTGCTTCCGGCCCCGTCATCAGGCAGTTTCTGAGGCTGCACCCTTCCCAAGCATCCTCTCCTGGCAATGTCCTTAAAGAATTGGGACAAGAAGTTCTGGCCATTCTAGGGGTCCTGGTTTTGCCCTGCACCCACATGGGACAGAAAAAAAAGAACTGGTGCACACTGGGATATCTGGCTACAGTCAGTCCTGGGAGACTCTCCTGTGTCTACTGATATGCGCTCAATTTCCTGCCACCCCTTCCCAGGAGCCTAGACAGTATGGAAAAAATTCGCATTCAACTTCTCCCAGAAAAGACTTTCTGCATACACCTAGAGTATTTTTAACCGTGTTCTTTCTTGCCTTGATCAAAGATACTCACGATGGAAATGGACAGAGCCTAAGAGCTATCTTAAAATAACAGATCCTGAAGCCTCAAAAGCCCCTTTTGGACTGTGACTTGTCAACTTGCTCAGACGGCTCCCAGGCAAGTAGCAGTCTCAAAACTTCCCTCCTCCTCTGACTCTCCAGATTGCATCATTTTCCCATTGGCAAGCATGGCCCCATAATGGTCCAGCTCAGGACCACAGGAGCACAGAACCCTTAACCCCAAATACTAGTGGCAGAGCCCTTCAGAACACTCAGTGAGTTGGGCTCCTAATCTGGGGAAACAGTGTCCTTCTCAGCTCCTAGCTCTTCGCCACTTGGTGCAGCAATGTGGCAGCCAGTAAGAAGCCAATCCCACTGTCCTGGAATCAGCATCTGGTTTGAGCAATAGATGCCCCTTTGTTCTTTCTAGACATCTGCAAAATTGATACCTCTGAGATGAGACACTCAGTAAGAGATTGAGAAAACTGGTGTGGGAGCCTCAGCTCACCTGACTCCCGAGTCCTTTCCCCTTCACTGAATGAAACATGCCACACTTGTGTAGAATCACTAAATCACAAGGATTCTTTTGACAGAAAGGAGAACTGAGGCACAGAGCCCTTGAGCCACGCCCACAGACTCTTGATCCACATGCCTCTTACTATTCCCACGCAAGCCCTCATTGTCCTTTGTCTTTAAGGAGTTTCGTGTTGCTTCTGTCTTTAGAAGACCTTAATTTTTTGTTTGACTCCTGCTTATTTCCTGGATTCTTTGTGTCCCGTGCTCTAGGAGATGACGAGCATATTCATTATCACTCGGTCTTGATATTCTTCTGAACAGAGCTGGCAAGGAAATGAAAAAGAATCCTAATTAGGGGATGATAACCCCGCGGAGCAGTTGGGACTCTCTGCAGCGGCCACGTCCTTCCCACAAGTCCTGCGTGTTTGTCAGATGTTTATAGAGCCTTCATTAACGGAGGGCTCCCTTAGATAAGAGGTCCGAGCCAGCGTCAAGGGCCAGATAAGAACAAGTGGAAGACCCTGTGGGGACTCTGACAGCAGCTGAGAGCCTGTGCATTGGCTGGGGGGTCGTTGTGCAGAGCACTGGGCAGGACAATGCAGGCCCACTCCTCCTGGGCTCCTTCGTGTGCCCACTAGCACCCGCAGCCTCTGTTGGTCTCCAGCCCCAAGATGTGCTGTAGGGCGCTCTGGGCAGCCCTGCTGGTGCTCTTCCTGCTGGCCTGCTCCATGCAAGGGAAACCACTGGAGAGCCCGGGCAGGGCGTGGGTAGGGAGAGATGCTCATCGCTTGCTAGGGGAACCTCCGGGAGACCGGGAGGAGGGCACTTTTGACCTGAGGATGTTCCTGGAGAACATGAAGGTGGATTTTCTGCGCAGCCTCAACCTGAGTGGAGTCCCAGCCCAGGATAAAACCCAAGCAGAGCCCCCGCAGTACATGCTCGACCTCTACAACAGATATACCACTGACAAGTCATCCACCCCTGCCTCCAACATCGTGCGGAGCTTCAGTCTGGAAGGTAGGATGGGTCCTGTGGAGACAGTAGGGGGGGACTCCAGATTGGGAGCCCTGACCCCAAGTGGACCTTGAGATTTCACTTTAAAATAATTTAAATGAGAGGGGATCTGGAATTTAAATCAAACATAATCAAATGAGTAATTAAATTCTTTTAACCTTGCTTGCCTTATGTCAAGTGCCCAGCACCCCGAAGAACAGAACAGATTATGCAACATTGCTATAGTCATAGAAAGTTCTAAGGCACAGCTCCAGTCTAGAAGATTCTCTTCCCTGGCTCATTGCCACAGTGAACACAGTATGGGCTATGGGAAGGGCAGCTTCTTCTCCTTCATCTCCTCTTGCCTTACCTTCCTTTCCCTTCTTACTGAAAAATTGACCATTTATTTAAGGCCTCCCACTGACTGGTTCATTTCTTGAACTTTGAAAAATGTCGGTTATGTCTGGATATGTCATCAAAAGGTGTCTGAAATTTTAGAGGAGAGTTTGACCCTTCCCCCCCCAAAAAATAGAATCTCCCTAGTTGAGGTGGACAGAGTAAGAATAGATGTGGACCCAGGGCTTGAGGGTCTCTGATGCCCACAACGTGTAAAGGGCAAGGTGAACAGATGCTGCAGGAACTTTCCCTGGCTGCTGATGCCTGAAATAGCTGGACCCTAACCCGGGCCATCTAGCCTGCACTCACCACTCAGCTTTTCCTCTGAACAGCCAGACTTACAAGGTCTCTTTCCTCTTGGACAGGAGATCTGAAAACTCCCAAGAACCGCAGCTCAGGCCAACAGCCCCGCAGAGCTCAGAGGCATATAAAGATCTCTTTGATGACTATGTAGTTTCAGCAGTGCTGGGTTTTCTGATTGTCCAAAAGAAGAAGAAAAACCTCCTAGATTTTAACGAGAAATTGCCTGGTTTATAAGCACTGACTTTGTTATTATTATGAGACCAGTAACTACAACTGGTCTCATTCAATTATTATTATAATTATTATTATTATTACAATGTTAATAATCTCAGCAGACCCAGTGTTTATAATGTCTGATCTAGAGAAGGCTGGACTACTTCAGCTGGAACTAATCATCAAATCCTAGCCTGGGAATCCAGCGTTTGGGGCCATCTCAATGACACCCTTCCCTCCCCCTCTCCCATTAATCCTCTGCATTGTCCTCATCCCAGAAGCCAGTGCTCTGATCTGATCCCAGCTCTGTCTGTGGCCAGCATTCCTGTGGAGGCCAATTATCTTTGCCTTCACAAACAGTGGAGTGTGGCTTGTTGGGGGAGGGTGCTTTCTAGATGTCTGACTATGGTTCCACAGTCATTGTCAAGATATGCCAGAGAGAGAGCATATTTGGTCCTTAACATACTGCTCACAGACCCTGCCCTCCTCCTGTTTAATCACTCTGCAGGAGTTTGAATGACACATCAACACTGGGGTGAGTGAATACTACAGAGCAGGTGAAATACCAAAATACCACATGTCAGGGGTTGGGGGTGAGGATGGTATACAGAGGTGAGGAGTGTCTGGGAAGGACACAAAAATAGTGACTGAGTACCTGCTACACTCAGGGTCAGTGCTGGATATGTCTATCTGATCAAAGCCTCGTGTCATTGCTGGAAGGCAGATAAGTGAGTCCCATATGAGATGCTAAGGTACAGAGAGTCTCAGGATATCTCCAAGGGTACACCCCTGGGAAAAGATAGAGTTGTAATTTTCTCTCTTCTTGCAGGCCTGAAAGCCTGCCAAGTGTCAAGACAGCAGATGGTCTCCCTCTAGGTTTGGACATAGTACTTGGTCACAAAACACAACTTTCTTTCTTTGTGACCAAGCCAGGGGATAATAGGTATGCATTAATGTCTTTGTTTAGAAATGAGAATCTGAGACAATTGTGTAACTGGAAGATAAGCCCCATTATCACCTGATACAGCAAAGCCACTGAAGTTACAGTATATTTTCCCTCAAATGTGAAAAATCCCATTCACTTTCACTTTGCTCAGAAGTTATCATTTCATATGATTTTTACACTGAATGCTGAGATCTTTTACACTGTATAAATGATGGAACTGTATCTTTCGTCTCAGGATCTTACCTTAAAATTCTTATGCTCAGTCTGTACATTGACATTAAACTTGTTTGTTTTGCTTATTTTGTCCTTATATTGTGGTGAAGTGTGGAACCTTACAGAGTACGTGCATAGTGGAAGTTAAAATTTCTAAGCCCGGGCTCTAGGTGTAAAAGTGAGGGAAAACCTGAGATTCTCTCAGGGTCAAATGAAGGATAGAATGAAATATATAGACAAGTGCCAGTTCAAAACCAGGACATGCTAGATTAGGCTGAGTCAACTTCAATGTCAGGCATCTCCTAGCTCTGCTTTTCTTTGGAAGACCCTAAGTGTACCTTTCAAAATGCTCTTATGCATCAAAATCTTATGTAAACCTAGTAGATATTCCAGAGGGACACACCATGTCATTAAGATGCTCCTTTCAAATCTTGAGCTTCAGCTTTGGTGTCAGGAATCTCAACCTCCAACCCAGCAGGTGCCTTTCACTGTGCTTTGCATTTCAGATGTCATCTCTATGTCTACCACGGAAGATTCCCCCTCTCAGAAACACATCTTACTCTTCAACGTCTCCATTCCCAGGCATGAGCAGATCACCAGGGCAGAGCTCCGACTCTACATCTCCTGTCAAAGTCAGGTGGACTCCTCTCCTGAACTGAAGGGAAACATGGCCATTTATGATGTCCTGGATGGAGCAGATGCCTGGGATGCTTCCGAGGAAACCAAGATCTTCCTGGTGTCCCAGGACATTCGGGATGAGGGCTGGAAGACCTTTGAAGTCTCCAGTGCCGTGAGGCGGTGGGTCAGGGCAGATACCACCAAGAGCAAAAATACACTGGAAGTGACTGTGGAGAATCACAGAAAAGGCTGTGACAAGTTGGATATCAGTGTCCCCCCAGGCTCCAAAAACTTGCCTTTTTTTGTCATCTTTTCCAATGATCGCAGCAATGGGACCAAGGAGACCAGGCTGGAGCTCAGGGAGATGATTGGCCATGAGCAAGAAAGTGTGGTCAAGGGCCTGTCCAAGAACAACCTGGTGGAGGTAGACGGCCATATGACCTCAGAGTCATCCTTAGTCAGAAGGAAGAGGAGTGCAGGGCCCAGCAGCCACTGTCAAAAAACCTCCCTGCGGGTGAATTTTGAGGACATCGGCTGGGACAGCTGGATCATTGCTCCCAAGGAATACGATGCCTACGAGTGTAAAGGTGGTTGCTTCTTTCCCCTAGCTGACGATGTGACCCCAACGAAGCACGCCATTGTGCAGACCCTGGTGCATCTCAAGTTCCCCATGAAGGTGGGCAAGGCCTGTTGTGTGCCCACCAAACTGAGCCCCATTTCCATTCTCTACAAGGATGATATGGGGGTTCCCACCCTCAAGTACCACTATGAAGGGATGAGCGTGGCAGAGTGTGGGTGCAGGTAGGGCCAGACCATGGGGAAGGGGAGGCCAGGTTGGGGGGTGTCTTAAGGAAAATCCTGAGTCACTTGCACATGACAGGGTCATCTGCTTTCCAGCCTGGAAAAGGGGAGGGACTTCCTATGTCCATTCTCCCTCCCACAGTTCACCCCAAGCATACAAGGGAAGGAGGGATTTGGGGAAGAAAGGAAGCCTGATGGGGTGTTAGAATGAAAGGAAAGATAATGAGAATGGGACAAGAGAAAAATAACCCAAAGACAACGAAGAACAGAATTGGCATGACCAGAGAAGTGTAGACAGATGTGCAGGTTTATAGGAGTTCATTCAAGAGCCTATTCCAATAACTTCAGGGAACTCAGAAGAAAGAATCGGTCAATGTTCTCACCCCCATTGTTTCATGTGTTCCCACAACCCAGTGATCTGGGAATGATGAACCCCCAGTCTATACAGACAGAACCCCAAACCCAGACAGGTCACGCAATACACATTCATGGCACAAGTTCAGTCCATGGGTCTCCATAGGTATGTCAATCTCCAAGACCCTGAATGTTCCCAAGTTCCCATCTCAGGTTCACAAGATCACCTCATAGCTTAAAGGAAGCTTACCTGCAGGGAAGGTGGTGGAGGGAAAGGAAACAGGCTGACTGATCTGGGCTAGTGCCCATAGTATAACTAGGCATGCCGTCATACCCTAGTGTGTCCTAACTGCTCAAGGTCTCTGGGTCTCTGTTAATAAGTGGAAAAAATTATCTTGGCCAAGGGGCAAAGGGTATAGCTAATAACTCTTTGGGGATCATACAATACTAGGGATTGAAACAGGGGGTCCAGCATTGCAAAGCATATGTTCCAGTCTTCTGTGCTATACTCCCCAGTTCTAAAAAAACGCTTTCAAAGATTATCTTGGGTGTCTGAAAAACTACTCCCCAAATCAACTATCTGTTAGAAAGGAAGTAGGATTGCAGTGCCTGGACGCCAGTATGTGTTGTGACTGAAGCTCCGGGGACCTCCTGGACAGTATTTAGGTGACCCCTTCTGCCCATGGACTCAAAGATCCTGATAGTTGTGTGGGGGTGGCAGTGACAGACAGCCTCCTGCTTAGTCAGGTATTCAGAAATAACCAGCCCATGGTGTCACATACTTCCCCCCTTCCCCTGCATCTCCCTGACAGAGACTCCAAGGGATGTAGGAATGGAATTTGAATTTGTTGGAATAAACATTCTCCTGCATTGGTATTTGTAACATCCCTCTTATTTTACCCTGGGTGGCAATAACAGCTTTCAGGGTGAGGCCTCTCAGCCCGCTGAAGAACTCAGGTTCTGTGGCGATAGCCATTTCTGCCTGCTCTTGTTAGGTCTTGTATGTATTCCCTGGCTCCTGGCCCAGGCTTGGGTCACAGACTCCACCTCCAATAACCTCAAGAGACTTTGGGTTTCATACTTTCCTTTGACTTGTGAGGTCACACATGGAATGAAGTAGGAGTCTGAATGTGGAGCGGATTCCTTCCATGCCCCTTCTGAGCACTGGCCAGACCAGTGGTTTGTCTTTCTAGGAGACACAGAGAGCCCTGGACCATTCTCACTGGTTGCAGCTCCCAGTAACATTAGAAACAAAATGGTTTGTGTTGAATGTTTACATAGAACCAATGAACAGCTTTAACACACAAATATAATAGAACATCATTGTTGGAGTTGTAGAAAATATGAATTTCTGGGACAACAATGTTGCTCAATCATAAAGATGGGTTATGGACATTTTTCAGTCCTAGTGGTGTATTTAGTTCTGTGCCTACATCAAAGTTTTCCTTGGAAATAAAAATCAAACGTCTAAGGTGTGAATCCTGAGCCTGATGACCCACAACCTCACTCTAATATCCCTCCCTGTAAACATCCCTTTTCTTGTGGGAAGAGGTCCGAGTGTCCATGTGTGTTGGGATGAGAGAATGTGTCCAGGTGTTGCATCTGCGTTGGGATGCAGGTGTGGGTGAGTGGGTGTGAATAATGCCAGTGGTTATATGTAGACAAGGACAATTACATCTACTTTCACCTGTCCTCCGCATTACCACACATCAGGGATAGATGACCTGGGCTGTAATTTACTTCTTCCTGAGGGAAGTCCTGGGGCCTGCACAGTTTTCCAGCCTCTGCCTCTCTTCTCCCCTCCCCACTCCAACCCTTCTCAGTCCTGCTATTCTTTGTCTTCCATCTGCAACCAAACAGCCTCAAGTTTGCTTCCTGTTCTCAGCAGTCAGACAACCCTGACTAGCCCCTCACTTCTTGTTCATGGCTTTTATTTTCTGTTATTCTTTCTATCAGATTAAATTCTCCAAAGCTTGTTCAACCCAAACCAAGTGAAATAAGTATAAGGGCAACATCATCTGGACACTCCCTGATGTGACCCAAATAATCCTCTACCTAACTACTGTCCCTTTAGATGTTTCTTTTCTAACACTTCTTAAAGTGACTTATTTCAGACTCATCAGGATGGTGATGCTATTGCTTTTGCATCTGAAGAAGCTTAAAAAGCACAAGGACAAGTTAGCAGGGTTTGCATTCTATCCCCCACCTCCACATGACTCAAACTTTCTGGCCAGGAACAAGGGAGGAGAGACAGAGGTCAAGGGATGCTGAACAGAAAGCCACAGGCTTTCTGAGAGAGACAGTAAGATGGGGTTGAAACAGAGAAACTGCAAGGGGAGCCAGAGAGGACAGCTGGGATCATCGCAAGCATCTGTCTTAAAAACTTACACACACTTATTATAATATTAAGCACAGAATAGACCTGGAGTAACAGTACAGTGGGTAAGGTACTTTGCATGAGTTGACCCTGGTTCAGTATCTGGCACTGCATTTGGTCCTCAGAGTACTGTCAGTAATGATTCTTGAGAACAGGGCCAGGAGTAAGCCCAAAGCACCACCAGGTGTGGCCCGAAAACAACCAACAAAAGAAAACAAAAACAGTGAGCACAAAATAGTAAACATTTATATCCTGGCTTCTACAAAGGAAGAGGCAATGGGGCACACACCACTTGGAATCAATAGCCAGAAAATTCTGGAGCCAAGATTTGAACCCTAGACGCTTTGTCAAGCTCATGTTCTATGCTTCCCTCACTTTGCCCATGTTTTTCTGTAGGTTCAGGTCACAATAACATTAACAGAAAGAATCAAAGCTATAGAATAAACCAGATGAAATGGGGTTGGGAAGATAGCTCAGTATCAGGGACACCTGACTTGCATTCAATAGGTTCTGACATATAATCCCAGAGCCACATTTTCCCCTCCCCCGACTCAATTTGGGTGGATCTAGTGGTTTTTCACATTACTAGGTCTGAACATCTCTGAATCCCAGGATCCTTGCCTCGAACTACCTGACCTGGTTGTCCCAGTATTGTTGGGAGTGGACCAGGGCCTCCCGGCCTCCATAAACAAAACAGTTTCTAATCTCTTGGGCAAGTGCTCTCGGCTCTGGCTGAGTTCTCCCTGGTACTTTTTATCATGCTTGTGCAGGGTCCACTGGTCAGCCATGGAGGGATATTCACAGGACAAGCATGTCTATATCTCCTGTGTCTGATGCTCTGTGGATAGTCCTTAAACACAATGACTTGCACTTCTTTCAGAACTCTGCCAAAATTGAAAGAATTTCTTTTGACTCAAAATTGAAAGAGTCAATTCAACCTTGCAGCCTTCTCTTTACTGAGCCTGACTCGCTGTCATGGGAACAACGCAGAGAGAGGGGTGAGATCACATGCTTCCAACGAAACTCATTCCCTCCATGTACCAAAGCTTTGACTCCAGACCTAGGTAATCTGATTGAGTATCTCAGTGCTGTTCCTTACCAGAATCTCTGTTAGTGTTCTGCTATGCCTGTTCCAGTGACATCTGCATCTTGACTCATTTTAGAACTCCAAGGTGGGATGGGCACTATACTATCACTTTGTTTGTTCTTGTAGTAGGCTCCAGGGGATGGAGATTGAAACCAGCATAGCAGACAGACATGCACTGGACGCATGATATAAGGCAACTCAAGCCCATCTTATTGGGTGCTCCCTTGCCTAGAAGCTCCTGCAGCTAGTCTTTAGACATCAAGACACAAAAATGGCATTACAGAGACCAGGAGGACTATTGCCCTTGGGATTTGTACCTCCAGGGTTCTAGAATGCACATATGTGCAAGGGTGTTATTTGACCCCACAAGGTTCTCCTGGCTTCATATTCTTTTCTTACCATCTTAAAATGCACAATAATTGCTCCCTCCCTGAGGGTCTCCCATTTTTGTTCCATACTCAACCATGCGAAAGATGCTGCTGATCTTGAATGCCTGTGTGTGGCCGGTGTGGTTCTCCAAGTCCCAGGGACACTCTGGAGGCTGTTTCAGGCCACCAAACTAACTTGATCCTGGTGTGCTGGGGAGTCTAAGCTTTTTTCCTAGGGACTCCTTCCCCCAAGGTCTGATGTTTGTGCCTGAGAACCTGCCCTACCCCTTCCACTTTGGTGCACAGAGGCTCAGAGGTTTATTCCAAGTATAAACAAAGGCAGCTACACTGTTCAGTTCTCAAAGTCGTCTATGTAACCTGTATGGAAGCTCCTTGAGTATGTGTATGTGGTAGGTGTGGGGTAGGAAAGACACTTTTTTGTTTGTTTGATTTTGTTTTTTGGGTCACACCCAGCAGTGATGCAAAGGGATTATTCCTGGCGGTGCTTGGGGGACCATATGGGATGCTGGAAACCGAACCCGGGTCGGCCACGGGCAAGGCAAATGCCCTACCCTCTGTACTATTGGTCCAGTCTTAGTACAGCCTTTTTTTAAAACAGTGTTTTAAAAAAAAGGTGGAAACAGCCTCATGTGAAGGGGCCCAGCTTGTCCCAGAGTTGGTTTTCCCCAGGAAACTCTGCACAAGGCAACTGACAACTGATCTCTGGTGACTTACTTGGGATTAGAGTAAATAAATCTTTTGGAACATCATTCCTTGTCATGTCACAGTAGCCATCTGACAGAATTCTTATGAGACTGACCTCCACTTCCCTGAACACTTTTCATTCAAAGGACCGGCCCTCCCCAGGGAGCCCATTGCGTCCTTGGTGAACAACTCTGTTTCTGGAGAGAGAGCCCTGAGCTGAGGCAACTCGGCACCACTGCAGCTCCCTCCAGTAAGCTGTGATTCTACTGCAACACCTTCATCTCAGGTGGCCTTATATTGGAGTCTTCTCAGGGGGCTCCTGGGCCTTCAGTAAGGCAGATAATGCTAATATGGGCCTATGAGTTGGGGGATCCCTAATCTGAAGAACCTGGGGACTTTAGTTTGTGTGTGTTCATGACTGCCATGAACATCCATGAAAAGAGCCACCTTTGCCCACTGGCTGGGACAGTCATCCATCTCTCAGCTGAGTTGCCAGCTCCAGTATTCCCCCCCCCCCACCTCAACAGCCCTCTGGTGCTCTTTCCTGCGCTCTCTCTTCATTGGTACATCCTTAAAATTAGTAGCATCTGGGGATAGAAAATTTGTGGAAAATAGACTTGCTTCCCAGTGTGGGATTTACACCTCTGGCAAGGAGCAGTGGATACAGGGAGATGAGACCCAGATCTAGAGCACAAAGCAGCCAACACTTTTCATCTCTGACACTGTCCGAAGTATCACCCCACTGTGGGAGTGTAAGAGCATTACTGTGTCTGCAGAACTGGAGAGTGAGTCCATGAGCTCTGTGACTTTCTAAGGATCCCAGTGTTATTTTACCCAAGTATCAAGCTCGCATTTTGGTGGTCACTCAGGGACAATTTCCTGTACCTTTGGAGTCATTAGTGTAAGCATCTGGGTGACCCTTCCTTTGCTTGGATAGTGTTGTCACTGGGCAGTATCTGGCCAGTCTCTTCCCCTGGCTCACTGACCATCATCCTACTGATGTTGTCCCTGTCTAGTTGCTATTAGGTCCTCTGGATGATGTTTTATGCTGTGCACAGTCAGGGATGAACAGAGAACAAAGGCAGATGTTAGCAGAAGTGAAGGTGAAGAACAGAGGTTGGGGCTAATCCGGTCAGGACTCCAATCCTGCCCAAGTCATGCATTAATAATGGTCATGTCAAGAGACACAGGCTCTTTGGGTCTTGGTATATTCCTTGCAAAAATTACCTGAAAAGTGCATCTCAGATACTTTGTAAAAATCTATTTGAATATTAGGGAGTTGTTTCTAGTTTATTCGAGGCACCACATCGTCCCAGTGACAGTTAGAGTGACTATAATGTGCCTGGGATTAAACATGGATCTACTGCAGGCCAAGAATACACTACACTTTGACTTAGCTTGAGATAAAGATCAGTTGGGGAAAAAATATGTCTGCTATCTCAGATTTCTAATACCTAAATAAACTCATTCTTTTTCTTTGTTTTCTGTACCAACTCTTATCTCTCAAATTAGCTTTGGAGCCACAAGCAAAATGACATTGGATTTGGTAATACTTCCTCTGACATCATTTCAATAGCCTCCACTTCATTTTCTCTCCCTCTTTTTCTAATTTTTTTTCCTGGGTTGGAAGAGCCACATCCTGTAGCTGATCCCCTTCCCCCTCACAATCCACACCAGAGAGAGAGAGAGAGAGAGAGAAAGGTATCCTCTTTGTTCAGGGAACCAAAACTGAATTTTAGCCCAACACTTTGCCACTGCAGAGACTTCAGATCCCAGATTATCCCAGGAGTCTCATGAAAATGATTCTTATTCTTGCTAATTACTGGGGTTCATACAAATACAGAGATGTCTAATGGAACTGGTATAAATGCAATCAGAAAATATAAGTAT